TGATTCCATTTATATGAAGGTACAGAAGACATAAAAAGTCATCTGCCGTGAAAATCAGATCAGTGGTTGCCTGGGACAAGGTTAAGATGGTTGAATGGACAAGGGACATGAGAAAACTTTCTGGAGTAATAGACATGTTCTGTATCTGGTTGGGGTGGTGGTTACATGACTGTAAACATTCGTGAAAATTCATGAAACTAGACATTTAAAATGTGTGCATTTTATCAAGGGTGAAGTATGTTTCCATACAGTTTATAAAAAGCATAAGGATAAATTAATATGGGGAGATTACAATATAGAGTTGGCTCTCTGTATCCATGGGCTCCACATCTGTGGATTCAAGCAACCACGGATCAAAAATATTTGGAAAATAAAACCGCATCTGTACTGAACAAAAATAGATTTTTCTTATCATTATTCACTAAACAATACAGTATAACAAGTATTTATATAGCATTTACATTGTATTAGGTATTATAAGTAATCTACAGATGATTTAAATTACATGGAAGGATGTGAGTAGGTTACGTGCAAATACTACATCATTTATATCAGAGACTTCAGCATTTGCAGATCTGGGTATCTGTTGGAGATGCTGGAACCAATGCCCCACAGATACTGAGGGATGACTATATATGTATAGTTTCTCATATGAACTTGAGTCATTCCCTCCCCCTCCTCTTCTCCCATTTTTAAGCAACTATTCTGCTGCTAAAATGGAAAACAATATACACGCACCCAACACACTGGAAGCAGCTATAGCCTGAAACATATTTCTCCCTGGCAGTGCCTCTGAAGATGTAGTTATAGGCATTAACCTCATTGTTCCTACTTCTAAGTATACCTCCTTTATTTCTAGTAAACAGGGGTTTATCATACATCTTTTAAACATCCAGCCCAGTCTTTTGAGTAAGTTTCTACCACTGCTGAAAACCAAAACAATTCAGGAGGAAAAACAATAATTCCTCATTAGAACTGGAAATCAAAGCTTCTAACGTTGAAGACTTCAAAATTAATTTTTCTGTTTGTAAAGCCCCATCAAGCAGCTACTAGTATGGCCCAAAGAGGGGCCATAGGCTACAGTGGTCTAGAGATGGCTTTGAAGGCAGGTGCCCTGGGTTCTGATCCCTGTTCTGCCACATGTTGTGTGAACTTGAAAAAGAATTTCTATTTTTGTCTTTCTGCTTCACTTCTGTGCCTCGGTTTCCTCATCTTCAAAGACAGGGATAACAGTACCCACTTTTTAAGACAATAGACATGAAGCACTTAGATAAGTGCCTTGAACAGTTAGCACTTGATAACTATTTCTGTCCACCCCTCCACCCCCCACCGGAGACAATCTTGCTGTTGCCTGGGCTGGCATGCAGTGTCATGATCTTGGCTCACTGCAACCTTTGCCTCCTGGGTTCAAGCAATTCTCCTCCCTCAGCCTCCAGAGTAGCTGGGATTACAGGTGCCTGCCACCATGTCCAGCTAATTTTTGTATTTTTAGTAGAGACAGGGTTTCATCATGTTGGCCAGGCTGGTCTTGAACACCTGACCTCATGATCCGTCCGCCTTGGCCTCCCAAAGTGCTGGGATTACAGGTGTGAACCACCGTGCCTGGCCAATAACTATTAACAATAATAATAGAAGGAGCAGTGATGGACTTTTCAGGCTGGAATATTAAAAATATGCCGATAATTCACGCCTGTAATCCCAGCACTTTGGGAGGCTGCGGTAGGTGGATCAAGAGGTCAGGAGTTCAAGACCAGTCTGGCCAAGGTAATGAACCCCATGTCTACAAAAAATACAAAAATTAGCAGGGCATGGTGGTGGGTACCTATAATCCCAGCTACTTGGGAGGCTGAGGCAGAGAATTGCTTGAACCTGGCAGGCAGAGGTTGCAGTGAGCCGAGATCGCGCCACTGCACTCTAGCCTGGGCAACAGAGTGAGAATCTGTCTCAAAAAAAAAAAAAAAATGCTGATATTACAAGCCACACTTCACCTTCTATAATACCTTCATGTACCAACCTCTACTACTCTTTGCCATTCATCTGTCCCTAGCTATCATTTTTTTAACATCATCTTGAAAGTCTGCAAAACAAGGACAATAGTGATTTTTCATCTACCAACATAATACTTTGAGACTTTCCCCAAAACGATTATAAATAGTGACAAATAAAAGAGTTAATTAACTTAGAATCTCCTACCCTTATGTACTCCCTAGCACCCACTGAACATAATTGATTAAATTATTCAGAACATGGTGCCCTTTCCCCAGAAGCTCCAGTAAGCTGTACAGGCTGTACCACAAACAAGCCAATGAACCTGTACTTGAAAAAGGGGGATAAACAAGAAACTTGTTTTAAGTCATCCCCGTATAAACTTATAAAATTTGGATAAAATAATGCAACCTACCATCAGATAGGAAATATGGTTAACACATGCTGGCAGAACTTGTCATCAGGAAGAAAATCTACTAATTACACACTCACATTTAATGACTTCATTATTTGCCCCTGAATTTTTGGTTTGTTTTCCAGAAATATTCTATGGTAGATTTTTAAAGCATAAACAAAGCCAACTCTGAAATAGGGGCATACTGTATATAACTCACTAAAATTTCTGCTTTCTGAAAAAAATTCCATCACTAGCAAATCAACTCTGCTTTTAAATGCAGTAAAATTAAGTGGTGTCAGTCAGAGCAGTAACCCAAGCCAAAGAAAACTTCCCTAAAGCAAGACAGATGAAAAAAAATGAGAGGGTCTTTGATACACAGCAAAGTTTAAGAGAAAGCATTCTTGGCAGGGCATGGTGGCTCACTCCTGTAATCCCAGCACTTTGGGAGGCCAAGGCGGGTGGATCACCTGAGGTCAGGAGTTCGAGACCAGTCTAACGTAGGGAAATCCTGTCTCTACTAAAAATACGAAAATTAGCTGGGTGTGGTGGTACATGTCTGTAATCCTAGCTATTCAGGTGGCTGAGGCAGAAGAATTGCTTGAACCCGGGAGGTAGAGGCTGCCATGAGCCGAGATCATGCCATTGCACTCCAGCCTGGGCAACAAGAGTGAAACTCTGTGTCAAAAAAAAATTTTTTTTAAAGAATTCTTACATCCCAAGTGTCCAAGATATAACTGGTCTGCTGGAAACACACTGTTGAATGTTGGTAAGGATAACGGCCCTTAACTTAACATACAAACGTGAGTGAACGGGTCAGGATTATATTTGTACAGACCTGGCAGCCCAAGCGAAGGGCATTCTGTATTGTCCAAGGCGGCTACACACTTGTTTAGCTGTTCTGTGCACCTTCTGGGCCGTCTAAGGTCAGAAATAAGAAGATAGGCTCATATTTGTTAAAACTGCCATGGGCCCACCCAGAAAAATAATTTCCCCAACTTACCATTATAAAACATCAAAAGTCTCGGGAAAAAAAATGCAGAAATAGCCACAAGCAGAACAACATGCACCAGCCAGCCATTTTGCAAGAACGAAGTACTTCATAAGGCTTTGTGTTTTCTCATTAACAGAGCTTTTTTCATTTATAGCAGAAGACAGACGAAATAGATATAGGGCACATTTTGCACCAAAGACCTCTACTGGAAAAATGTTTAGTGGTTTTAACCTGTACTTCCTTTCACATAGCAGGCAAATGCTCATCATTCTTGGAAGAAGTTTTTCTGGATACAGCTGCCCTTTCTACTCCCAAGATAAGGAACAAGTCACCAGGAGTCAATGCAATTAGCCTAAGTGTGGGCAGGAGCTGCTGTTTGCACAGGCACTGAGAGATGACAAGGAGATAAACTGCCTATGGAGTCTAAACAGACTGCTGGCTGGATGCTTTTCCCTAGGGATACAGAGAGCTGGAGGCTTTTATCTATATTGTTGAGACATTTTTCCTCCACAAATTAGTCCCATCACATCAGCAACTTCCACTTAATAAACATTATTTGGGTACACAACAAAAATGCCATGTACAACAGATTGATGCTTCATAAATACGCAGGAGCTGGAGTGCTACTAATGAACTCAACTGTGAACCCTTTCCCTCCCAGGGTCTCAGGTTTTTCATTTATAAGAGGAGATGATGAGATTAGAGCAATGATTTCCAAACATTTGAATTTCGTAATTTCACAACTTTCCAGAAATGTGAATGATGATATAGGGTTACCAACTTTTAATATTACCACTTAAGGACATTCAACAAAACAATTTTTAAATCCCTGCCATTTAATATGCCAACATTTCATGAAAGAAAGATATGCATAACCTTTAAAAAGTAGGAAGGGCAAAGATCTCAGAATAAAGGGCAGCCCTTCGAATTAAATACATTTAGCTTCATGAAATGTTCACTGTCTTTCTTTTCTCATTTTTTCACAGACAGGAGTAAATCTGGGTATGAACTGACATTTGGGAACTATAGGACTGGATCCTCTTTAATCTCCCAGCTCTGACATTCATTCTAAGGCTTTATGTAGGACCGTAAGAAAAAGAACGGCTATTGTCAAGGATACGGTGTCAATTAGCAGATGTTGCCTAAAAGCTTTGGCTCTTATTTTGATAAGCAAGGAGAAATCAGATTATTACATTATCAGAACATCAATGACAATAGGAAAATATGCCACGTTCAAGTTTTAGCACACATACACAGTATACAATGTTTTCAGAATATATAGCATGTGCAAAGAATTTTTTTCCCCTTAGAGGGACATTGACAATGTCATTTAAAATATCAGAAAAAGGCAAATTCTACGTTAAGGTGAAATGTTGACAAACAATCTTTATAAATTACCTTTACTGGATCAGAATTTTTGATGTAGGGTTCTGCACAGTGTGTAATGTTTCCCTGTAGTACCTTTTCGATTCTTGCAACTAGAAAAATTTCAGGATGTGGATTTGTCACTGAGAAAATTCCCTGGAAAAAAAGTACTTCATTAGACTCATGTAACTTTGTACATATGGTTGTTTATGGTTAATGATTGTTAGTAAAGAATGTTGATATTCAACAAAGGGTCGTGTCCAGGACCCTAGAAATAGGTAGGATTTCCTTTCATACCGTTTTCAAAGCTTCCAACATTCCTTTCCAAATGGATTTTATATTTTGTCACCAACCTCACATCTGTTAGTCCCCAAAGTACAGGTATCACTGTTACTGCTTTGCCTCTTTGGTTTGGTTGTGTATGTAAGGTGAGTTCTTAAACCTAATTTAATACAATGTACATTGTTTGGCTTAATTGGTGTGTGCTAAAATTGTGTACGTTTCTCAAATAGAAATAGATAGACATTTTTAAATGCAGCTGCATGTAACTCAAGAGCAATTCATATTTAACTAATATTTCTTTCCACTAAGAAGGAAAAAGAAACTTTACTGCTCTAGTATAGAAAAACTAAATCGTCTTCTACAAGACATTCCTTTGTTGCAGTTCAAGAGCTCTTGTGGGTGCTTCCAATGCAAAGGTAGGAGACAGAGGATCCAAATCTCATTTTGCCCCCATACACCTTATTTAAATGTACTAATGTAGATGCAACCAAAGTTACATTTTTCTTTGAAAGCATGTGGAACAGCCATGTCACCTCCTGTCCAGTTTGACTCCTTCCAAATATGATATCCTCTATGTAGCATGTTAGTTGGTTATGCCTGTTGTTTAAAGGAGCATCACTAATGAATTTAAGTGGAAAAATCTATCACTGAGTCTCTACCAAAATTTTGTTTTTTACTTGGTATATTACCAACTTTGTTAATATAGTGATTTTCAGTTTCCAATGCATTTCAGACACATTATCTCATTTTTTCCAGATAGAAACCTTGGAGGTAGACAGAGCAGAATAGAAAATTGAGTATAAGAGGCTAAAAATTCCCCCAAAGTCAAACAGCTTATAAGGATCCTGGGTAATGGCTGATTCAGCTTTGAATTCCCAAGCAGCAAGCATGGAACAAAGTGGTTCAAAATTGCTTGAGAAAGTGAACAAAGTGGTTCAAAATAGCTTGTCAAATTTCTTGGGTCCCAGCTCCAACATTAATGGGTTTAAGCAAGTCACATTCTCTCTAAGTCTCAGGTTTCTCATCTGTGAAATGGACACGATGATAGTGATAGGGATTTCATACATTTCTTGTATGGATTAATTGAAGTAATGCACATCAGGTACCTTGTTATTACCCAGGTGGCTCACCAAAGTATCTCAAGGTCACAGAACCTGGCTTCTGGTACTGCTGGGAGGCTTTAACATGCTGTTTGAGCTGTGAGGCTGACCAGGTTGGCAGACTGCCCGAGCTACCCCTGCAGAAGGTATGCTGAGGAGTGTGCCTTGAGTGCAGTGTTACTCTAACTGGCATTTAACCATGCTAGATGGTTTTCATGCTTTATCTCATTCGGTCTTCATAAAAACTCTGAAATGTAGGCACTACTATATACACATTCTATAGGTTAAGAAATGGAGGGTTGGGCGCAGTGGCTCATGCCTGTAATCCCAGCACTTTGGGAGGCTGAGGTGGGCAGATCATGAGGTCAGGAGATGGAGACCATCCTGGCTCACACAGTGAAACCCCGTCTCTACTAAAAATACAAAATAATTAGCTGGGCGTGGTGGCACATGCCTGCAGTCCTAGCTACTTGGGAGGCTAAGGCTAGAGAAATGCTTGAACCCAGGAAGCAGAGGTTGCAGTGAGCCGAGATCGCACTACTGTACTCCAGCCTGGGTGACAAAGCCAGACTCCATCTCAAAAAAAAAAAAAAGAAAGATAGAAAGAAAAAGAAATGGAGGCACAGAGAGGTTTGTGCAGTGAGTAAGTGGGTGAAGAAGATTGCAGTCCAGGCTTCCAGATTACACAGCCCATGCTATATCCCCTCTCAGCCCTGAGGTCCATACAACCAACATCTCATATGATAAGGCCAGATTAGAACAGTAATAATGCTGGGCATGGTGGCTCCTGCTTGTAAACCAATCACTTTGGGAGGCTAAGGTGGGAGAATTGCTTGAGCCGGGAGTTTGAGAACAGTAATACTGATTATTGCTATAGCTACCATTTATTGAACACTTATTGTTTCCCATTCTCAGTACTTTAAGCATTTCCCAACACTAATGCCAGCAATGACTATTATAATTTTAAGATATTTGACAATTGATAAAAGCTTGCTGTTTTCACTTGTTTACCTGAGATCACTGTTACTGCTACTACTGCTCGCTGCTACGTTGCACTGAGCAAACCGAGTGTGCCCATCACAGTGTTGAGTGTTTTCTCAGAACCACATACCTTGTTTGTGCCTCCCCACAGCCCTTGGACACAGGTACTGTCACTACCTCCACTGAGATGTCCATTTTCTAACTGACCAGGGATTCCAATGCTAGGGGACACTCTTTGAAGTTGTTTTACCTTTTGTCCCATCAGCTTCTGGCCCTCTGCCTGTCCCCAGAATGCAGAAGGTCGCCAGAGAGAACCCAGAAATCCCACATGGGCTGGAAGTCTGGCCCTTTAAGACAAGGTCTCTGGCCCAGTCCTTTTTCTCACCAAGGGGCATGAATATGCCTCCCCACCCTAGGGAGACTCTTACCCACTTTGCTGGCCCCTCCCTCTAGAGAATGGACCAGTTCCTCTCCCCGAGCCACCAGTACTTACAAAGCTCCTAGGTTGTGGCAGGGCATGTGCTAGTGTTATAATATTTCAGCATTTAATTACATTCTGTCTAATATTCTTAGTCAAGTTATTTCAAACAGACCTAGATTCAAATCCTGCCATCACCACTACTAGCTGTGTCACCATGAGCAGCTTACTTAACTTCCCTGAGCTTCAGTTTCCCCATCTGTCAAACAGAAGTGATTATAGCATTTCACAAACTATTATGATTACATGAGACACTGATGGAATAATGTTGGCACACAGGAGATATTTTTTAAATGTTGATTTTCTTCCTATCCCAAATTACAAACTAGATGACATCTGAAATCATAATTTAAAATTCCTGCATTGAACATACTGCTGAGTTAGGTACACACTGAAGCAACAGAGGAAATAAATATTGACATAAAATGACTTATTTGATGCTGTGCAGGAAATTTTATTTGTTTATTTATTTGAGACGGAGTCTTGCTAGGTCACCCAGGCTGGAGTGCAGTGGCATGATCTTGGCTCACTGCAACCTCCGCCTCCCAGGTTCAAGCAATTCTCCTGCCTCTGTCTCCTGAGGCTACATCATCATGTCCGGCTAATTTTTGTATTTTTAGTAGACACGGAGTTTTGCCATGTTGGTCAGGCTGGTCTCTAACTCCTGACCTCATGATCTGCCCACATCAGCCTCCCAAAGTGCTGGGATTACAGGTGTGAGCCATTGTGCCCAGCCAGGAAATTTTAAACATAAAATTCAATAGTAGGTTCTCAAATATTTACAACACTGTGCTTGCTCAATCCCTCTTTCAGAAGCATCCACCATCATTGTGGAATATTCATAGAGGTAACAACTACAGCCTGAGTAACAAGCTAAGGGGCTATCAGGGATTAAGGACTAACTTGAGGACAAGCTACCAGAAATGCACAGCCACAAAAGGACTGTGACAGCCCATGTAAAGAAGTCTTTTCCAATGTTTGATCATCTATATCAATCAGCATAATCTTTGACCCTAAAAATCCCAATGCTTGGAATTTATTCCAAGGAGATAATTCAACAAATGAGCTAAGATGTGTGCACAAGAGGCTCAATGAGGCATTATTTCTGATAGCAAATAATTAGAAATGTCTTAAGTAGCTAAATAAATGAAATGTCATGTTAGCCTTTAATATTGCATGTGACCGATCTATAGATATTGATATAGGATAAATATGATATTAAAAGAATATAGTAGGTATAAAACAGCATATGACATAATTTTTATAGGAGTATACATAATGTGTATATATTTCTATATACACAACAGAGATGTCTGAAAAGATGTTTACCAAAATGTTAAGTTATTATCTTACAGTTGGTGACTTACTTTCTTCTTTATACTTCTTATATTGTTTGAATTTTCTACATAAGAATGTACTTATCATTATAATCAGGGAAAAAAGGAGTGGTATTTTTATTTAGGGATAAATCAATCTCCTTACAACATGAGCAGCTTTGTTCACATGTCTCTTTCGACTTTAATTTTCTGCCATGCTCTCATTTCCTTTTAGCTGCAAAAGTCCAGCAAGCAGATGATCAATTCCACTCTGCTAACTTCTCATGGCCTCCAGTCTGGTCAGAGGTCAGAATTCCAAGGAACAGTTAAGCTCTTTCTGAAAGGGATTCTTTGCTCCAGATAGAACAGAAGAGTGTAGCATTACAGCTATGACACAAGCAGTTCCCACCCATTGCTTTTCAAGTAAAACTCCTTGTAGAAAGAGCCCATATGCTCCATTCAAATGACCTACTCATAATGGACATAAAATCAGGGGTGGGAGAGTTAATTTAGGGTCAATTTTTCCTAAAAACTGAAACCTTCAAGCACTTATTGCCTTACTCAGAAGTATATGCATGAGTGTGGGTGCTGGTGTGTTTATGTGTCTGTATCAGCTTTCTATCTCACAAAATAATTCCCTCTCTCTCACATTATGGTCCCATTAAAAATGTTCCTTCGCTAACATGTTACTGGCATGTTCATTGGTTTCCATTTTTGCCCTCAAACTTCAGTCACCAGAAAAATATCTATTGACAGGCCTTACATGAGAGAGAATGCCATGAAAACACTGGCCTGAAACCACAAAATAACACAAGAACATTTCTGTTTCTTATTATGAATGTACTGGTAAGACTAAAGATCATTCGTTACCTGTTTTATGTAGCGTAACTGAGATTCAGCAATTCCATGAATGACAGACTCAGGTGAAGAGCCTTTCGGGTTACCATCACTGGCCAGTTGGGTTGAAGAGCCCCACAGCATTTCACGGACAGATGGGGGATTCAGGTCTACATGAAAGTCTGCTGAAATCTTACAATTGTTCTTTACATCAAATAAGGCAAGATTGATAAAAAAGGGCTCAACCTGGAAATGAAAACAATTATATTTTAAAACTAAGACTTTGGCGGGGGGATGGTGGGGAGAGACCCAATTGCAAAATAAATTTGTTATTCCTCCAGTTTCTGTGATTACAGTTCCTGAGTTCCACACTTAGCTAAAATTATATTATGGCTTATCTGCACAGAAGAAAGGGCATTCCAAAACACCAGATTTCAACAAATTTTAACCTCTGTCAGGTGTAGATAATTTCACACACTATAAAGTTTACAAAAAAAAAATAGAAATCAAAAGCTACATTTATATAACACAAATTGTTCTATGAATAAATATTAATTCTCTACACATTTACTGAGACTACCTAAAAAATAATGCCAATATTATTATAGAGTAGAAATGAATCTACTCTTCTGTTATGTTCCAACTTACTCAACTATACATTTCATAAGAGCTAGTAATAGTCAACATCAAATTACTTGACAAAAGCTTTGCCCTATCAGCAATTTTGGAAGACATGATTCCTCTCTACAGATGGCATTTGAAAGATGGTCACAAAGAGAAATTTCATGCCAGATGGAATACAGATTAACCCTTTATACACAGGAAAGTCTGCTGTACTTTTCAGCTATCTTGTGAGAGAATCAATCATCACCGTTTTATTTTTAATAGACAAAACTAGAACCAAAAAATAAAGATGAACATACAAAACAGTCTCTTTGAAGGTTTTACATTTACATTCCAAGGATTTCTAAGCAACTCAAATGATCCATGACAGCTATCACTTAGAATTTTCTCTGTAGACCAAAATAAATCTAATGCTATAGAATAGTGACCGAGCCTAGCAGACTGCACAGCATCTGTATCCCAGCATGGCTATGGTGATCCTTACTCATTGCTATGAACCAATTTCACAGAAGAAATCACATTATTTAACAGAATTTACACATTTGATGATTTTGCAGGTTTGGGGAACATGCTCCTCTGGAACATCAAGAGCCTACTCTATCTGCTATTCTAAGTAGATAAGATTTTCATGAATTCTCAAAATGAGGACATAGCCATATTTTGGCAAAAGAAAGAGATGTATAAAATTCTTCCATGTCTAATTTATCATATGTGGCACTGGGATCTTCACATAGTCAATTATTAACAGTTCTCAGTCATAAAAAGATATTTTATTGTCATAAAATGTATATATATATAATATATATATAAAACTTTTATTTTAGATTCAGGGTACATGTGCAGGTTTGTTATATAGGTAAATTGCATGTCATGGAGGTTTGGTGTACAAATTATTTTGAGAAAGACATTTCTTTAATGCACTGATGCAAGTGGGGTAGAAGGAAAAGTCATACATACATTTGTGGGTGGTCCTTTTGCATTGTCTCCAATTTGGCCCAAGATATTGAAAGTTAAATCATGGCAATTTACCAGGAGACGTTTGTTGCACTTTTCTTCAAATGGCTTTATATCGGGTTCAATTCCTGAAAAGTCCAACCTCTACAAAACAGAGAGTGTGAATCATTTTCAAAAAAAGATAGGATTAATATTAAAATAGATTTATGTTAATATAATAAAAATGGCAAAATCCAACTGTTCTCTGTCCATTCTTCATTTGAACTCTTTTTATGTTTTCATTTAACAAGCCTTTATAGACTTTTTACACTAAAGTTAAACAGTGATAGAGAAATCCTAGAGGAAGGTGATGAAACTCGGATCTAAGGCAATGAAAAAGTCACAAGTCTGTACTACGGCCTGCAAAGCCCTACATGACATGACTCCCTGTCTCTTCTCGCCGCTCTGACTTCATCTCCTACCATGCTTGCCCTCCTCCCTCTTCCAGCCACACTGGTCTCCTTGGTTATTTTTATTTATTTATTTATTTTGAGACAGATTCTTGCTCTGTCACCAGGCTGGAGTGCTGTGGCATGTCGGCTCACTACAACCTCCACCTCCCGGGTTCAAGCTATTCCCCTGCCTCAGCCTCCTGAGTAGCTGGGACTACAGGCATGCACCATCATGCCCGGCTAACTCTTGTATTTTAGTAGAGACAAGATTTCACCATGTTGGCCAGGATGTTCTTGATCTCCTGACTTTGTCATCCACTTGCCTTGGCTTCCCAAAGTGCTGGGTTTACAGGCATGAGCCACCATGCCTGGCTCTCCTTGATTATTTTGCCAGCACACCAAGGACACTCCCACACCAGGACTTTTGCACTTGCTGTTCTGTCAGGAACCCTCTTCCCTCAGATAGCTACATGGCTTTCTTCCTCATTTCCAAGCCTCTGATCAATTGACACTTCTGCAGGGAGACCTTCCCTAACTCCCTATAGAAAACTACACACTCTCAGCTGGGCGCAGTGGCTCACACGGGAGGTAGAGGCAGGCGGACCACAAGTTCAAGAGATCGAGACCATCCTGGCCAACATGGTGAAACCCCATCTGTTTCTACTAAAAATACAAAAATTAGCTGGGCATGGTAGCACGTGCCTGTAGTACCAGTTACTTGGGAGGCTGAGGGAAGAGAATTGCTTGAACCCAGGAGGCAGAGGTTGCAGTGAGCCAAGATCGTGCCATTGCACTCCATCCTGGGAGATGGAGTGAGACTCCATCTCAAAAACAAGCAAACAAAAAGACCAAAAACTGCACACTCCCTGATGGTCTATACTCCCTTTCTCTCATTTATCTTTCTAATATTACTTTTTATATGTGCTTATTCTTTGTCTTCCCCATGCAATATATGTTCCAAAACAGTCAAAATTTGGTTTCCTTTATGAGCTGTGCAGGAGGCAGAACTGACAGGAATAGGTATGGGAAGCATCAAAACTAACATGGTAGGCTGAGAGGGGAAGATCACTTGAGGCTAGGAGTTGGAGACCAACCTGCGCAAGACAGTGAGACCCTCATCTCTACAAAAAAATAAAAGCTAGCCAGGCATGGTTGTGTAGGTCTATAGTCCTGGTTATTTGGGAGGCTGAGGCAGGAGGATGGCTTGAACCCAAGAGTTCAAGGCTGCAGTGAGCTATGATGGTGCCACTGCACTCCAGCCTGGGTGACAGAGTGAGACCCTATCTCAAAAAAAAAAAAAAAAAAAGATTAATACAGTGATCCCTAATTTGAGAGATTCAATAGATAGCAATGTTATGAACTTAGTCGTGAAATACAAATGAATGACAGATTTTGAAGTACAGTGAGTAGAAATGGTGAGTTCAGTTTGGGATGTGTTGCATTTGAGGTAATGGCAGTAGGAAAAATAGGAGAGGCCTGACTTAGAGATCTGGATGTGGGAGTCAGCAGCATTTAGGTTGAAAGGCACAAAAGGCTGGAACCCCATGGACTACCTATGTTTAAGTTATGTACAGAGTAAGAGGCATCTGCTTAGGAAATTGATCAACACTGAGCTCAGCTAACAGAGCGAGGCAATGGACTTGGGCTACCACAGAAATCAATTTCTGAAAATTATTGGTATTTTGAAATAAAAACACGAAAAAGATATTGGGTGTGAAGGAATCCTTTCAGTAGGGGAGGAATCTGTCTCTCAAAGAAAATTCCTAGAATCTTCCTTCTGAGCTCACAAGGCTCAGGCAATCTAAGTTCATCTGTTCATGCTCAACGTCTGAACAGACTTATATTCTATTCACAAAAGGGAAAAAAAGTGTGGATTATGGGACAATTTACTATGTTTTCATTAAGGTCATAGACATCGCAGGCAGCAAATGATTGGGTGGATTCGAGCAGAATAACACTGTCAGTATGGAAAACTCAAGACAAGAAACCGAAAATTTTTTCTCAATTACCTAAGTAATTCAAGCCAAAACAGGTATTATGCCTGAAGAATATTGGATAATTATAGCTGTTCTAACTTAGCCTGTGTGACTGACAAAAACCTCCTTAAAAGGACCCAATGTGTAAGATTTGTACCTGAAAGCACGACTTCTTCCCCTTTGAATCTATTTATCTACAAAAGGAATGCGAATGTGTGGGACTAGACAGCTCCCTCTTAAATACCTATCTATCTGTGGAGCCAGGGGAGGCAAGTCATTGCCATGGAGATCAATTTTAATTTCCAACCATTTATCTGCTTTCCTTTCTGCCTCACTCAGACAGTAAAATGTGAAGAGAAACTGGACCAAATCACTCCAGCCTTCAAATCCTTTCCCTTCTAAGGCCTGTGAGTGCAAATGTTGGGACATATGGCCTTCTTCAGCTCAAAGTTTGAGCCATCACCTTCAGTCAGCCAGTATTTCTTTATTCTCTAAGGTCATGTCTCTAAATAATGAACTATGGCCAAAAGAAAAGGTGAAATTACAGAATGGTGCCTCACCTAGAAAAGGTACTCAACAGATGCAACGTGGGTTTCTCCGAGGTGAGACTGCCTTCCATAACAAACATTACATTCAATTTCTTCTCCTTAAAGCTTCATTACAACTGTAAATTTCGCTTACTATATAGTTCACTGATAAATAACTCAGACATAAAACCAGTTCAGTTTTATGACCACAAAAATGCTACACCACAAATTTGTAAAAATACTGGATTTAGTTTCAACCACAGTCAGTTGGCTCCTTTGTATACAATGAAAGAGCCTGATATGTCCAACTAGGGCCCAGTCATGGGTGGGGGATCAAAGACTCAGACATGCTTGGAAGAAGTAAATTTCGGAATGAATATCTCAGAACAAATATCCCTGAGGCCCATTATACTATTACTTTTTTTTTTTTTTTTTTTTTTTTTTTGAGACGGAGTCTTGCTCTGTCACCAGGCTGGATAGTGGCGCAGTCTCGGCTCACTGCAACCTCCGCCTCCCGGGTTCAAGCGCTTCTTCTGCCTCAGCCTCCCGAGTAGCTGGGACTACAGGCATACACCAACATGCCTGGGGTTTCACCATGTTGGCCAGGATGGTCTCGATCTCTTGACCTTGTGATCTGCCCGCCTCGGCCTCCCAAAGCGCTGGGATTACAGGCGTGAGCCACCGCGCCCGGCCTACTTTAAAAAAAAAAAAAAATTCACGTTACTTGCCCTAAAGCAATATTTAATTCCAATGGGGGAAAAAGGGAAATGAAATTATTTTTAAAAATCTATTTTCTCCAAATAATCCCATTTCTCATGTAATATTTTCATTAAGGAAAGATGTTTGTATTACTTATAGCCTATATACTTTTCCATTTTAAACTAAATTTTTAATTAGAAAACCATATGAAGCAAAAAGAAAAAACAACAATGGCTAATCTAAAGGCAGTGAGCTATCTCAATTGATTGCTCAGTCAATTACATACTGAACTCCTTGTTGTACTCTTTCTCCCTCTTGTCACTACTGCACTTGACTACACTTAAATAAAGAGGCCTGGCGTGGTGGCTCATGCCTGTAATCCCAGCACTTTGGGAGGCCAAGGCAGGCAGATCACCTGAGGTCAGGAACTCGAGACAGCCTGACCAACACAGTGAAGCCCCATCTCTACTAAAAATACAAAATTAGCTAGGCGTGGTGGCACATGCCTGTAATCCCAGCTACTCAGGAGGCTGAGGTATGAGAATTGCTTGAACCTAAGAAGGTGGAGGTTGCGGTGAGCCAAGATCGCACCATTGGACTTCAGTCTGGGCAACAAGAGTGAAACTCTGTCTCAAAACAACAACAACAACAACGAAAATAAAAAAAAGAGAGAAAGAAAGAAAGAAAAAGAAAAATGACAACAACAAAATCAGACTTCCCCAAATTATTTCATATTTTCATGGAAGAAAAAACTGTAATGCACATTTTCCTATTTCAAATGAAAAAGATTTTCATTCGAAATCTCATATAGAAAAAGGGAAAAGAAAGCCAAAAAATTTCATCTCCCTCAATTTCATTTTCTCAAAAACTATTTTCCATTAGGAAAAATATTTGTAATACTTATATACTTTAGACTTTTCCTACTGAAAAAATTAAAAACTGAATTAGAAAATGTCATAGAATTAAATATTAACTGCATATATCTTAGTACAAAACACATCTAACTCTCATGAAAGAGGTTAAAATACACATACGCATATAAACCTGCACCTTCCTGCACCACCCTCCATTTAAAGTGTGATTAAGCCAGACATAAAAATTATCCCAGTTCTACAGGCCTACATCAAATGTGAAAAATAAATGTCTCATATGACTCATATGTTCTTTATACTGCAGATATTTACTGCCACTAGATCACAATTGTATTTAATGGGCTAAAAGAACATTGTAACCATCTTGAAGGGTTCTTTAATTTATCTATTTTGAGAAGCAAGATGAAGTGAAAAGAATATAAGAAACTGAGAAATACATATGTAATTCAGCCCCAAATTATCTGCAAATGTGATGGTCCTCTTGAGTGAAGAGTTCATTGTTAAGTTACCTGTTCAAAGTAAACAAGACAAATATAAAATAATCTATCCCTAGTGGTACAAAAAAACAGAGATTTCAACATTTCAAAGATGTTGTTTATGTGAATAAGCAACAATTCTAGGACTAAAGAAATGTATCATTAATACCTGAACTTCTGAATCAAAAGAAAAGAGATTCTGTCTTCCATCTCCTCTACTGAGTTTGTTTAGTTGTTCAGTTTCTCTTCCATACTAAAATTTTAAAAAACATGTATGTTACTTCATTTCCTTCAAAACAGTGTTAAATAGTATTTAAATGTACAGTTTATGTAAAACTATAAATCTGTCACAGATTCAAAAATATACCATTCTCTATTTCCATGTACTTAAGATGGATAAAGAATGCTTGCTTGGCTATGACCCATAATAAGCTATATATCAGGTTCTTACGCTTTCTATGTGCCTGTTTGCAACACCAAGATTATTATTCATCCTGCAGTCAGTACAAAACAGGAATGCAAGATACTCTGAATGCAAAGGAGAAATAAACAAAAGAGAAATCACCATAGTTTTCATATCCATGGTGTTAGCTATGGAATATTATATGTAATTCTGATTCCATCACTTTGGGAAATACCTAGTGAGCTGCACAATCCAGGATGACAAAGTTTGAGATGGAATGCAACTAAACTCTATAAAATCATTTTATAAAATCCTAGATCAGGCCGGGCGCAGTGATTCATGCCTGTAATCCCAGCACTTTGGGAGGCCAAGGTGGGTGGAGTTTGAGACCAGCCTGGTCAAGAAGGTGAAACCCTGTCTCTACTAAAAATACAAAGATTCCCCTCCCTGTGTCCATGTGTTCTCATTGTTCAACACCCGCCTATGAGTGAGAACATGCGGTGTTTGATCTTCTGCTGTCCTGTCAGTTTGCTGAGAATGATGGTTTCCAGGTTCATCCATGTCCCTACAAAGGACCCTAACTCATCGTTTTTGATGGCTGCATAATATTCCATGGTGTATATGTGCCACATTTGGGGGGT